GAAACAAGATAACTTCATGGATGGAAGGTGGCACCTTCCACCCTCACCAGCAGGAGGTTCTTCTCCAGGAGGCCCATCGCTTCTGCTCCCACTGGTTGAAGTACATAGTTAGCAAGAGTCCACTCTGTTTGGGCCTAAATTTGTTTATGCCAGTCATACATGCTAATTTTAATGAGGCAATTGAGTGAATTCACCCTTAAACTAATAAATGAAGAGTATAAACAGAATGATCCCAACCAATGGAATTTAACCAAAGAAATAAGAATGTAGGCAAAACAGGACTGTTATTTCTACAAAAATTAAATTGAATGTTTTGCAAAGATTCTATATAAATCCTGTAATTTTTTTAATGCTGTCAAATTAGGAATGGGTAAGGGAACTATAAAATAATGGGAGGAAAAACATTAAAATGAAGGATTTTGCAATTGGATTGCTTCATAAGTGGCTAGAATTTCTTGCTTCATGTTGAAGAACTGGAGCTCTAAGACAATAAAATGTGTGTACAGTTTATGTAAGAAAAACTAAGGTCTCATCTTTCATCAGACCCAGGAGAAAAGGCCTTGGAAGTCTACATCAAAGTATTAGCAGGTTACTACCATTGAAATATTTTGAGTCCAAATAAAACATATGAAGAAAGGATATACCTCTTTTATGATTCCCTAATTTAACCAAGTTTTTCAACTCACTGACCCATTACCAATTCCAATTATATTGAATAGGACCACTCCATCTGTCTCTACCAATCTAAAAAATTATTGTTTCATGAAATCAACTAATTCCAGTAGTCTGGCCTTTCCAAGCCTGGTGTATCAATAAGCTATTTTTCAAGATGTTAATCCAACATTTAGCTTGATTATCTATTTTTGGAGTACTTTTTTTTTACTCCCTCACTGACTGAAAAAAAATCTATCTTCTAAAAGTCAATGCCACCCAAACCATCCAATGTTCATCAAGTGAGATCTTTAAATATTAAATATTAATAATTCAAAAACCAAAAGAGGGAAACCCCAGCAACTTTGGACAGGCTATAAATAATCAGGCACTACTCCATCAGAACTGAGCACTTCAGGGGCCTGGAGCTGATTGTTGCAGAATGTGCTTTCCTGGAAACAGTACAGCAAGATGGTAAACACTACTCTCAGCCCAGAGGAACCACATCTGCCTTCTCTGTCTAATAATAAGTATGATGACCAGCACCCTTAGTGTGGAGCACAGGATATAACTGAAACTATACTTAGATACAAATCTATAAATATCATGAAACCCGTTTCCTTTCCAACTTCTTTATGTGTGCCTCCCTTCCCCCACCCCATGACTTCCTTAGCATCTTCCAAACCCTATTACAAAACTTGAACAAATCAGGCTGGGTTAGAGGCTAACTCCTGCCATCAAAACTCAACATGTCTTTTTTTTTTTTTTGGCGGTACTAGGATTTGAACTCAGGGCCTCATGCTTGTTAGGCAGGCACTCTATTAATGGAGCCACTCCACCAGCCCATAACCCAATATATGAAGAACCTAGATGCTTCCATCAGGACTATCTGAAAACTACTCTGCCAGCTATGGAAGTAATTGGAGAGGTTCATGAATATCAGGAATTAGTCAACTCTTCTTTGAGATACTTTGCAGACAGCCACAAATCCAGCTGGCTGGAATTTTTGAATCAAAACATTTTATCCAGCAATATATCTGTCTGTAGACTCCTTTTGCAATGTTTTCCTAAAGCAAAATAAAAGTGATGATAATGGGCAAGTATTTCTAAGCTGACTTACCCCTCCTCGGTTCAGCCAGGAATGGAAGGCTACCAGAGCCTTCCACTTCCAGCCCACATTCACTATCTAGATAAAGGCAGAGGTAGTCAGATCCCTTCAGCCAAGGTTAAATTCTAGTTGTCCCTGTGTTTTGATTTGTGTCAAGAATTTCATGGCAGTGATGTTCACAAGGATCTGTAACCATGTGTCACCAGAAGAGATGAATTCCTTGCTATCCAAACGAACATGTTCCCATATACTCTGTTTGGTTCTGGCTGCTTAAAATAAACTCAATAATAAAGCCATGTTATACACAATAACTAAAATGGCACAGTGATGCACTGGCCCAAGGCTTTCTGACATGACTTTTATTCTTATACTTCAACTCACTCTAATTTTGCTCTGCTTTGAACTTTTCTGTTTAAAGAAGATCTCTCTGTAGGCACTTCTTGCTCTGTAAATCTTAAAACAGCCTGAGTTAAAAACAGTCACTCTGACCTGACCAGCTTAAATGACCAGCTCAGGAACAGTCAAGCTCCTTGGGTTCTGCAAATTTCCCCAGGATGGAAAAGCTTTTCAGGTTCCAAGAAACTATCTTTGGAGCATCAGACACAGGAGCCACCCACCAAGGCCACCTTGGGATGTTCACAACTGCAAGCAAATCTCAGGACTTTCTACAATGGTCCACTAAACACTTCTATGGCCTCTGTACCTGCTGGATTGCTTGCCTGGCTTGCTTAGCTTCCTGAGCCATGACACCTCTCCCTGACACTCCATCCCCAGCCCCCAATAAAATTCCCCCAATTGAAGCAACAGGCCTTTGTCTCCAGTCACAGGGTATCCATGGCTCCTCACCTGTCCCCTGGTTTTCAGGAGGGGAGGGAGAAGTCTTCCACTACATGCTTCTGAGAAGTCAATCCCAAAATTTCCTAGGTTATTTGGCCAGGACCCTTTCCTGAAGAGATGGTCACTGCTGTCCCTGGTCGTGGGAGTTTGCCCTTGTTCCCATATCTGAACCACCATGTTATTTATTCACAAATAAACATTCGAGAACCCACCACCTGCCAGCCCCTAACTAGTCAAGGGGGGTGTCAAGGACATGAGACAGCCCCCCTTCAGGCAGCATACAGGCTAGTGGGATGGGGAACAACAAACCCACATACCAATAACTAAGTAATTTCACAAAAGAGTGTGATGAGACCAAGAGAAATTGGAGGTGGTAGCAGGAGCTGCTGCCCTTAGAGTGGTCAGGGAAGGTCCCTAGAAGAGCTGACGCTTGAGCTGAGATGTGATGATGAAAAATAGCTGGTTATTCACAGATCTGTGGGAAGAACATTCCAGAAGGAAGGAAAAGTAAGTTTCAATGCTCTAAGAAGAAAATGAACTTTACTTGTGTGTGAGTCAGCTTTCCATTGCTCTGACAAAATACCTAACATAATCAGCTTACGAGGAAAAAAGAGTGTTTGGGCTTGTGTTTCCAGAGACACTAGCCTATGATTGCTTGGCCTCATTGCATTGGGCCTGTGGTGAGGCAGAGTATCACGGTAGAGAACAGATGGTGGAGCAGAGTTACTTACCTCATGGTGGTTGGAAATCAGAAGGAGAGAGGGGGGAGAGGCCAGGGTCCCAATACCCCCTTCAAGGACACACCCCAGTGACCTCACTTCCTCCCATTAGGCCCTACCTTCTAAAGTTTGCTCCACCTCCCAAAGCACCACAGACTGTGGACCAAGCCATTAGCATAAGGGACATTTCATATACAAACCATAACATCTTGTAAGAAGGGCAGAAGAAAGACTGTATGGACAGAGCAGAGCAAGGGAGAGGGAGAATGGATGAGCTTCAAGGGGTAGGCAGGAGCCTATGGATTCCCCAGAGCCTCAAGGGCTGAGGAAAAACCCACTGGAAGGTCATAAGCAAGGAGGAATTGGCTCTGTGCTTTTAAAGGATCACTATGGATGCTGGGAGGAGAAGGGACTGGGGTGGGGTGGGGAATGAGATGGTTGTTTGGATTAGGATAGTAACCACAGAGATGCCATGGGATTCAGGACATAATTTGGGGACAGGACTGCCAGGACCCTAGAATAAAGACAGTAAGACCAGCATCTGTAAATACTCTATCCCTGTGTGAGTAGCACTCTCTCTTTCTTTAGTGCTCTCTCTGTCTCTCTCTCTCTCTCTCTCTCTCTCTCTCTCTCTGTCTCTCTCTCTCTCTCTCTCTCTCTCTCTCTCTCTCTCTCTCTCACACACACACACACACACACACACACACACAGAGTATCCTCCTTATATGAACTAGGCAGGTTCTGGAGCCAAATTCCCGGGTTCAAATTCCATCTCTTCGGCATACTAGTCATAAAACTTGGTGCAAGTCTCTGAGCCTCTCTATACCTGGGACTTCTTCCCTGTATATTACAATTGAATAATTGAAGCACCCTTGTAGAAGTTAAAGTAGTTACTATATGTGACCCATTCAGGGAAGGAGAGCTGCCACATAGCTTCCTACTACTGCTGCAACAAATCACCAAAAATTCTGTGGCTCAATTTAAAACAATACAAATTTATTCTCCCACAGTTCTGGGAGTCAGAAGTAGGAAGTCAGTTCCACTGGGCTCCAGCCAAGGTGTTTACAGGGCTGGTTTCTTTTGGAGGCTCCAGGGAGAATCCATTCCTTGCCTTTGGCCTCTGAAGGCAGCAGTATTCCTTGGCTTCTGGCCCCATCACTCCAATCTCCACTTCCATCATCACATTATGTTCTCCCCTTTTGACTTTCTTACCCCCTCTTAGAAGAATCCTTGCGATTCTGTTTTGGGCTCACCTGAATAACCCAGAATAATGTCTCCATCTCAAAATCCTAACTTAATCACATGAGTACCTTGTCTTCTGCCATACAAGGTACTTTCACATGTTCTGGGGGGGGAGGAGGAAGGGAGGATGCAGGCACCTTTGGCGGCCATTATTTAGCCCCCTGTATATGATAATAAATAAAGGTAAATTGCTATTATTATCATTATAATTCCCACGGCATCCCCAGTCTCCTTCCAAGCTATGTGGGAGAGGAGGGGACGTAGAGAGACCCCTAATTCTCTGAAGCCCCCGGTGACAAGGCCAGAGCTGGGGGCCCTGCTGGCTGACTAGGCAAAGTGTCAGTCACCAGTTGGTCCTGATCAGGGAGGGGACAGAGAGCAAAAGAACAGGAACATGTTCGCAGGCTTTGTGCAGGATCCAACAGGGATGTTGTAAGCACAGGCTAGAGCCTCCTGATGGCGCTGTATTGCGTGGGCTCCTCGTGACCTGTGCTGAAAATGTGGATGTTGCTGTAGGTTGACTCTTGAGCCAAAGCACCCAAAGACAGAGATGCATAGGAAATTTCCTCCCTTGGAAAGGGAGCCTGTAAGAGATTATCAGGAGGTCAGGGAGCCTGGCAGGAGCCTGTGCCCATGGAATGGGACAGAGGAGGCCTCAGAGGAGGGGGTCAGGCTTCTGAGGTCCACTCCCAAGCCCTCCAGCTTCCCTCTGCCATTCTCCCCAGGTGAGCTTCAGCCACAGCACAATAGGTTCCCCATATTTGCCCAAGGGCAGCCGGTCCCTATGGAATTCTGAGCCACTGGGCTTAGATGACGCTCTCCTGCTCAGTGTAAAGACCACATTAGTTGGGCCCCTGAGTCTCCAGGGTTGAGACCTGGGGCGGACACCCTTCTGAAACCTGCAGGTTGCTAATTTAGGGCAAGTCCTGAAATGAATACAGTTCTGCCTGGCACCCACCCTCCTCAGCTGTGCCCATGCAGGCAGGAGAAAGCCCATCCACAAAGGGAGGGCAGCCGCATTTCTGTCCCTCCCCAATCTCCAGCAGCTGCATAAAGGACACACCATGGTGATGTATTCCACTTCTGCCTGGCTAGCCTGGGCAGTGGAGGAGGGCTTGGTGGAGGCCTTTTTCCAGGAGGAGCCAGGGGAGGTTCCAGGCTGTTGCAGGGCCAGGTTTGCATAGCAGAGGTCATCCCCCAGAGACTGCAGCACCTGGAGATGAGGACACAGGGTATTAGTCACCAGATCAGCCTGTGGCACACAAGACCTCCCCAAGACCTCCTCCCCTCTTACTATTTCCAGGCTCCCCATCCTCCCAGGCCCTGCAGAGGCCATGACTACATGGATATTGTGGCACATAGGGATCTTGGAGGTGGAAAACAAAGAAGTGGGCTGGTATCTCTGGTCCACCCTCTGGGACTCTTACCTGCTCTGGTGATGGCTCAACAGCTGAAAGACAAGAACAATCCAGAATTAGGAAGCTCATTCCTGAGGTCCACAGAGGTCCCCACATGCAGGGAAGAGAAGTGGGTGGGGGGATGGGGAGACTGTAAATGAAGTTCCTGACTCAGAGACAGGGGACCCGGTTCTAATTCTAACCCCTCAGACAACACATTCCAGGGCATGAGTCAAGACACCTCTCTGACTTCCATTTATCCATCTTTAAAGGAGGAAGACCTGCACCCACTTGACAGAACTGTGGGACCAGTGGTCCTACCAGCCATCAGTTCCCATGGGGTTAAGTTTCTTTCTGAAATATCCTGGGCTAAGCCTATAACTTCTACCAGAAGTTCTGTCTGTTTCTCCACCTTTCCTCTACCTGAACCTCCTTCAAAGGTCGTCTCAAAGTCATGCCTGCTTCCTTAGCCACCAGGCCACCAAATCCCTCCTCCTATGGCACTTGCTTTTGTCTCTCCCCTTGCTTCTATCCCCCTGAATTCTAGCGAGACTCCAGCCAGGCCTGGGTGGACCTGTCCCCTCCCTCCTTGTGTCCTGATACTTGACCCTACCTGACAGGTGGGTGTTCAGTCAGAGGTGGGTTTGTCCCAAACTGTCCCTGAGTGGAATGCATGGACTGGTTTTCAGAAGGTTGCTGGCTCCTGTATTTCTTTCTGCCCTTGACCTTCCCCCCGCTACCAACACCCCCAACCCCCTCCTCTGGAGACAAAAAAAAAGGAAACAAAATGTTTTCTCCCCCATTTTTAGTTTCAAATGACTAGATGGCTAGGAGCATGAAAAGTGCTTAAACTTAGGTCATGGCCAACACACTTGGAAAAAAAAAGTGATGGATAAGATCCACGGTCAAGCAAAGTAGGATGGCACATGCCAACACCTGAGATGCTGAGGCAGGAGGATGGAGAGTTTGAGGCTACTCTGGTCTACATAGTGAGTTCAAGTTCAACCTGAGTTATATAGCAAGATCCTGTCTCGAAAGAAAAGAAACACAGAGTCAGGTTCCCCTTCTATCAGACAGAAAGACTCCTGTGGGAGGGGATTTGGTAAAAGTTCAGGTCCTGGGCGTTCTGAGAAGGGAAAGGGTGCAACTATGTGAGAATGTGGAAGTGAAGCCAGACAGGAGAAGGACTTGGTGGAGGCCAGACCTTGTGATCTGTGAACAAAGGCTCCTGAGCACTTTTTCAAAGACTCTTCTCTGAAAAGCAAGGTCACATGGGATAAGTAGGTCAAGGGAAAGTGCTGGTAGGCAGAGGAGAAGCAGCAGCAAGAGTCAACCCTTTTGATGAGACCTGGAGGGTTGTGTCTTGTGTACCTGAGTGTGGGTGAGAGGTGGTGTGAGCATGCCTGTGTTACATGAACTCACATGCATGCGTGTGCATATACTGACTGTATGCACATACTGGCAGTTTATGTGTTCTGTGTGTGTGTGTGTTTCTCTCCTGTGTCAGCTTGAACTCAGGGCCTCACCCTTGCTGGGCAGGCGCTATACCACTTGAGCCAGTCTACTAACCCTCACTACCTCCTTGACAGCCATTCAGATCTTACTGAAATGCCTAGTCACCCTAGACCGAACTGTTCTCCTAAAGCCATTGCCACCTTTACCTATAAGAGCCAAACCAGGGCACAGAAGGTGTGGCTCAAGTAGTAGAGTGCCTGCCCAGCAAGCACAAAACCTTGAGTTCAAATCCCAGTACTACCAAACCAGCCGGGCACCAGTGGTTCACACCTGTAATCCTAGCTACTAGGGAGGCTGATATCAGGAGGATTGCAGTTCAAGGCCAGCCCATAGTTCATGAGATCTCCCCATCTCCAAAATAACCAGAGCAAAATGGATTTGAAGGTGTGGCTCAGGTGGTAGAGTGCCTGCTTTACAAGTGCAAAACCCTGAGTTCAAATCCCAGTTCCACCAGGGGGGACAAAAAGGGCCAAATCAGGAACCATGGAAGGAAGTGGTTCAGAGAGAAGAGGGCAAGGAGGGATGTGCAAGACAAGCAGCTGACACCAAAACCTTGAAGGGCTCACCTACAAGTCTAGGCTACCGTCTATCCCCTTGGACTGCTCACTGCTAGTGGCCTCTGGTACCCTACGCCTTCCACCCTGGGTAGGTAAGCCCTTGTGCCAGTTAGTTCTCAGTCCCTTACCCCCACCCAGCCAGGCCAGATTCTCTCACCTTTCCTTTGTCGCTTCATCATCCACCAAGCCAGGAGTAAGGCCACCACCAAGAGCAGCAGCAGAGCAGCAAAGATGAGTGGGATGAGGGTACTGAGATCCATAATGCCACGCCTAGGAATGACAGATCAGGGTTGCCTTTTGCCTCACAGCCCTATCCCAGCCACCTGGTGGCAGGGGAGAGCCACATACCGTATGGCCTGCAGGACTGTCATCTTCAGCTAGGGAACCCTTGTTCCTGGGTATTCTCAAAGATGGTTTTGCAAACAGGATAGGAGGGCACTGGAAAGTAGTTCCAGCTTGTCTGGAAGCCTAACAGAAATCATACAGCAATGTGCTCCTAACAGGCCTGTTCTATACTTGTCCTCTCTACTAGCTTGAACAGTGTCCCCCAAAATTCGAGTCTACCCAGAGCCTGTGAATGTGCTCTATTTGGAAAAAGAGTCTTTGCAGATGCCATCAAGTTCAGACAAAGTCATACTGGATTAGAGTGGGCCTTAATCCAATGACTTATCCTTATAAGAGAGAAATTTGGACACACAGACATAGAAGATGCCATGTGATGACAGGGGCAGAGAGTGGAGTGATGTACCTACAAGCCAAGGACCCACCAAAGATCACTGGTGCATCAGAAGCTAGAAGAAAAAAGCAAGGTGGAACATGCCTGTAATCCCAGAACTAGGGAGGTGGAGGCAGTAGGATCATAAGTTTCAGGCCAGCCTGTGCTAAATGGCAAGATCCTGTATCACAAGAGAAAAAAATCAGAGAACAAGTGGGAGAGGGAGAGGGGAAGTAAAAGAATCCCTGGTAATACAAAGATTGGGGCGCTCCCTTGTAGATTTTATGGCAAGGTTTTCAGCAACAGAGGCTTTTGGCAGATCTAAAAACAGTCAAGAGAGCCAAGGAAAGCAAAAAGAGGAAGTAAAGGAGGTTTCTAAACTTCAAGAAGGCCCTTTGCAGATGGCAGGACAGTGCACTAAGAAGCATGACCCGAGTTCTGGGCTTGCAATCCAAAGACTTCATTCAAGCTCCAGGGCCACCCCTCACTGAGGAAGCAATTGAGGCTCAGTTTCAACATCTGTTTCTATGTCTGTAAAATAGGAACGTTTATACCTGCTCATTCCTTTTGGTTGGGTAGTCATAGGCAAGGTCAAAGGAAAAAATGGACAGAGAATCTCTGGTGAACTACTGCCCTAAAGATGTGAGGAATGTCACAACAGTCGAGGGGAAACAGGACTTCCCCAAGCCATCCTCTGCCTCCTAGAAGTTGGCCCAAGAGACCACCCTACAGCCCTGCATCCCTGCACCCACACACTCACACCACGCTGTTCTCATGGAGTACCTACCTATGGCTGTCACCCACCCAGCTTCACAGCTATGTCCCTAGAGCCAGCACAATGCCCATCATGAAGTTAACTTAATAAAAGTGGGATAAGTGAAAGAATGAAGACTAAATGAACCAGCAAAGCCTACAGACTGCACTCTGCTCCAGGGTGAAGGATCTGCGAGGGCGAGAGCAAATAGGAAGTGCCCCCCACACCCATGCCCTCATTAAGGAGCCTAAAGGTCCAAGGAAAGCTCTGTCTGGGGTCTAGAACTTCAAAGACTCCCCCAATGGAGGAGTCTGGCCCAAACAGGCCACAGAGGACAGCATTATTTGAGCTGACTTACCCACCATCCGAGTGGTAGCTGGTCTCCTCCACAGTGACTGGTGCTGTAGACGTGTTGTCCACAGTGACGACTGGTGCTATAAACGTGTTGCCCACAGTGACTGGTGCTGTAGACATGTTATTGGAGGAGGTGGTGGGGATGATGGCTGACACTGTAGTTGGTCCTTGGCATACAAACAGATTACACACTATTCTTCTTGCCAACCCACCCACAGCATGGCACCTGACTCTGAACCTGAGAGTGAGGCCACCCCAGCCAGACCTGGAGCAGTGCTGTATTGAGAGGCTATACCTTGGACCACTCATATCCCCTGGGCCTCTAGGAGAATCCAGGATATCTGAGGCAGGTGGAGCTGAACACAAATCCAGGAAGGATGCTAGAAGACTCAAGGACAAGGGCAGCTGGCATTCAGCTGAACTTCAAACAACTCCACTGCTGTGACAGTGCCTTGGACAGTCTTCCCTCCAGACTCCTTCACACAGCCAGGACAGGAGCAGAGTGGGGGCTCAGATGGGGGACTTGCATGTTGAAGACCTCCCTGAACAAGACCCTACCATTCAAGACAAGCCTTCACTTCAGGCAAGCTCTGAAGCTCAAGTAACGAGGACTCTTTCCTCCGGGGGGTGTTGTCAGGATTCAGTGAGACAATGTGTGCTCTGCACTGGGCCTCAGAGGTCCCACGGCAGTGTGGACCCAAGGATGTGGTGCTGTCATCAGGCTACAGGTGCCCTGTGACCAGTGCCCCTTGTCTGAAGGATGGCAACAAAAGAGCCCAACCTTTTGAAGAGAAACTCCTTCAAACCAAGGCACTGTAACCTCTCAACAGCCCTCCCCAGAGTGTCTGCATTCTAGAAGGACTTGAGAAGACTGTCATTAAGTCAAAAGCACGAGTGGCTCACACTGGGATTTCAGGAACCTGGAATGAAGCTATTTGACTGGGAAGGCCTTTGTAGGCCTCAGGAATTAGACCACAGCACCCCCAATTACATTGGGCTCCTTTCCCCTAGGGTTGGATATGGAATATAAGTGGGGGAGGGGAGTAAAAGCAGCAGCTGTGGAGGTCCTGCCCAGAGCTCTCCAAAGAGCAGGGCAGCCATGGGCCTTGCCAGGGACTGAGATCTCTGGGGGTCTCTGGCCCAGGGGCTGGAACTGGGGACCCTCGCCTTATCCTCTATTAGCAATAGACTCAGGAGCTGTGCAAAGAAGAAAAGGTTCCTGGAAGGGTGTGACCCTGCTCTGTAGGAGGCCCTAGGAGCCAGGGGACATCAAGAGAAGTCCTTTTCTCCCTATCCCGAGAGGTCCATTAAAGTTGTACAAGACCTCCAGACACAAACTCCCCTGTGACAGGTCACTCTGAATGACACTTCACATGAGTGGGACACTAACACATCCACACTCTTACCTGGATCAATGATCACATTAACCTTGACCCCGAGGTCAATTCCAATTCTCTCAATCCCACACCAGTACATGTCAGTGTCGTCTCTCCTGAGATCCTCCATGGTCACCGTGAACAGGAACTTTTTCTGATCATCCTTGATGGACACACGGTCCTTCTTCACCTCCTGCTCTGACCCACTGGTTGTAACAAGGACCTGGCACCTTCCCCAGTTAGCTCCTCGACACCACCACTTCTTGTAGGTTTTCCAACTTGAGGTATAATGACACTGCACAGTCAAGGAGCCCCGCTCCAGACCAGACACTTTCTCTGGACCAGTGATAGAACTCTGGGCAGTGAAGCAGCCTGGAAAACACAAATCCATTAAATGTCACCTCTCACTCCATGGGCAGAGCTACAGCATTCTGTGCTGGACAGAGCTCCCACGTCCAAGAGCATCAGGAAAGGAACAATGGTCAAGAAAGGACACACCTGCTGTCCTTCAGCTTCCACAGCTGGAGAGCACACTACGGTTCACAAAAGACATAAAGATGGTGACACTGAGCGCTAATAGCTTCCTGTCATCCACCCCTCTCCACCCCCAGTAACCAATATATCCATTTACTTCAAGGAGTGTCCTTTTGCAACCATCTTTGTGTTGCGCTGGTCTGGAGGGGAGGACACAGCAGAGGAGCCCGGTCCACAGGACATGACCTGCCTGGACTCAGTGCTGATGACCCTCAGGATGCCCAGGTGAAGCAGCTACATCAGAGGGCCATGCAGAGGCTCTTCCTGGTGGTTCCAGTTGTGTCTGGAGGCTCTGTAGTAAACCACCCTGGATGAATGCCTTGGAAGTTGACCACAAAGTGACGCCAACTTTGTCTCCATGTACTGTGGAGCCGACCACATACAGAAACAATTTTTCTGTCAATTGCTTTGGCACCTTCATCAAACACCACACTGTGAGTTATTTATGGATTGTCCATTCCATTCTATTGATCTACCTGTCCATTCTCACACTGATCACACACTGTCCTGACTGTAGCTTCAAAGGAAGGCAAGAAGCATCAACACTGAAGGGCTTTTTTTTTATTTTAAATATGTGTTCTTGGGTAAAGCAAAAAGGTCTGGTGGCATGGCTCAAGTGGTAGAGCACCTGCCTTATAAGCATAAGAGCCTGAGTGTAAACCCCAGTACTGCCAAAAAAAAAAAAAAAACAGATAATTAAAACATGTGCTCTTGTTTGTTCTTTCATTTTCTTATCTTTAAAAGATTCAGGATACAGGGAATTATTTCTTTACATGAATAATTTTTTAAATGGCAAGTGACACTAGGCCATAGAGTCAGGGATGCTGGGAGGAGGGGAGAGGGCTTGGCAGAGGACAGTAGCTCATGTCATGGCAGTTAGCAAGCAGAGAGAGAGAACACCTGCCCTAGCTGGCTTTCTCATTTTTCCCCTTTTTTTTCCATCTGGGTATCCCCAACCTACTGAATGTTGCTACCCCATTCAGGCTGGGTTTTCCCTCATCAGTTAATCCTCTCTGGAAAGGCCCTCACAGACATCCCCCACAAGGTGTGCTTTACTAATCTCCTAGGTACTTCTCAATCTAATTAAATTAACAATCAAGATTAACCACCATGCCCACGGCATCTATGGCTCACACCTGTAATCCTAGCTACTTGGGAGGCTGAGATTGGGAGAGTGACAATTCTAGGCCAGCTGGGCAACTAGTTCACAAAACCCATCTCCAAAATAACCAGAGCAAAATGGACTGGAGGTGTGGCTCAAGCATAGTGCGCCTGCTCTTTCAGTGTGAAGCCCTGAGTTCAAACCCCAGTCACAGCCCAGATAGATGATCTCAGTGGTCTGCAGTGCAGGCTTCAAACCCCAGTCCCACACACAAAATAAAATTAACCATCACTTGAGCTGAGCATAGTGATATATGCCTGTAACCTCAGCACTGGGGAGGCTGAGTCAGGAAGATCAAGAGTTTGAAGCCAGCCTGGGATGCACAGTGAGACCCTGTCTCAAAAAACAAAAATGAAAAAAAGATTAACCATCAAAGTTGATAAATGTTATTGTTTTTATTTTATAAAATAACTTCTCATAGTATAGTTTTCTTCTTTTTATTAACTTGAGATTACTACTTGTTATCCTTTTCCAATTTGCTATGTTAAAACTGTGAGCCAGGCATGGTAGCATGCATGCACCTGTAATCCCAGCACTAGGGAGGCCAGTTCAAGGCTAGCCTGGGCTACATAGACCCTGTGTCAAAAACAAAATGAAACAACACAACAAAAACTGTGATCATTCTTCTTTCTAAAATTAATTAAAGCATGTTTAAAGCTAAGGATTTACTTTGGCCCACTTTTTAAACTAATACCAAAAATCTCTTTCTTGGACTGGCAGAGTGTCTCAAGTGGTAGAACACCTCTGCCTAGCCATGTGTGAGACCCTGAGTTCAAACCCTAGTACCACCAAATATATAAATATAAATAAATAAATTTCACTCTTTTAAAGTTTACAACTCAGTGAGTTTTATTTGTTTTTTAAGGCTGTCTGGATTATTCAAATTTTTTTATTTTTAAATTGTTATCTTTATTGTTGTGCTGGGTGGGGGTACACTGTGGCATTTACACAGGTTCTTACAATGTATCAGATATATCACACTTGAATTCTCCCCTCCACTGCTCTCCTTCATCCCTCTTCAGTGGATTGTAGAACATTGACTCAGGTTTACAGCCATCACCACAATGTAATTCCAGAACATTTCTTATTATCACAAAAAGAAATCTTACAGTCATTGTCAGTTACTTTCCTTGAGCTGGGTCTCCCAACACCCCCTACCACCACTCATCTGATCTACCTCCACGAATTTGCCTACTCTGGACAGTTCGTGTGAGTGGAGTCATACAGTGTACTGGCTTCTTCCAATTAGCCTTGTTTTTCAAGGTTCATCCATGTTGTAACATGTGACAGTAGTGTTTCAGTCTGTTTTACAGCTGAATAGTATTCCACTGTATGGATATACCACATTTATTTATCCATGTGCCAATGTGGGTAGGATGTTTTAGATTGTTCCCACTTTTTAGAGGTTATGAGTCCATATTGTCATGGGTGTTTATGTAAGTCTAAGTTTTTAAATGGACATGTGTTTTCACTCTCTTGGATATATACCTATGACAATAATTCTTGGGTCACATGGTAATTCTATGTTTTACATTTTGAGACACTACCAAATCGTTTCCCAACATGGCATTGTTCAGTTCTACGAAAGTAGAAAGAGGAAGGAGAAGGCAACATTGCAAAAATCCTGTCATCCTCTAGTGGATACATTCATCCACCCAACTAAAATTTACTATTTGTCTAGTTAGTACCTACTAGAGTTATAGGCTTACATTCTATCAAGGTGATAGGGGAAGAGACAATGGAGAAAAGTATTTGCAATTTTTTTAGGGTCATCAATGAAGGCCACAGTGAGAAGTGAGGACAAAGGAGGATATGAAAGACTGGAGCCTGTGGCTCCGTGGGAAAGAACATTCAAGGCAGAGAGGACAGAAAATAAAAAGTCCTTTCTGCCTAGTGTGTTCAAAGAACATCTAAGAGGCTGTTGTGGTGGGGTAGTTGAGCCCAGGAGAGAAGGGACGGGAAGGGGAGGAGAGGGGAGGGAAAAGGAGGGAAGGGGAGGGAAGGGGAGACTAAGGGAGAGGATAGAGCCAGGAACCAGACTATGAGCACCTCAAAGCCTGTGTCAGGACTTTGGGTTTTAACTGAGTCAGACAGGAGGTCATCTGACATAGACGCCCACCATGTTTGGTCTGAGCGCTGAGAAAGATGGAGTGGAGTTGCCAGACACAACAACGGGGAAGAAAGGGATTTGGGGCAAAGATTTGGGCAGGTCACATTAGAAATTTCAACATCCGAGGGGAGATGTTGAGTGGGCAGTTAGCTAGCTGGAAGATTCTGGTGTCTGAGGAGATGGCGATGTCAGAGGTATAAAAACAGAAGTCATCTGACAGTGAGTACTTTAAGCCAAGAGAAAAGGTGAGCTCAAGAGGAGAGTGACTCAGAAGAGGGAGAAACCCAAGGGCTGTGCCCCGGGGCCCCGCTCAAGTCAAGAAAATTCCCTTCCTTTTTAATCGAACTGCTACACATCCACTTAGTTCTTTCAGTTCTCTACCTGTGTCCACACATCAGCATCTCCTTTCCTTTTTTTTCACTGCCTCCTCTTCACCCTTTCAGCCTCTTGGCAACTTTTATTATTTCCTTCTGCTCCAAATGCCTGAGTCATCTCTCCCTCCTGTCTGGCAAACTCCCGCTTTCCTTCCTTCCACCCTCCACCTCCACCTCTCCCCTTGCTCATAACACACTCATGAAGGAGACAGTCCAACCCTAGATGAAGGACTCTCCAATCCTGAGCAACCAGGGCTCCTCTGCTTTTCCCCTGACCAGTGGCCATCAATCTGTCCATCTGAAATATGACCGGCCTAAGTGGCAGGAATTATGCCCTGGACTGGCTTCACAGTAAAGGGCTCAATATTTTTGCCTTCCAGGCAATCAAACATTGGGGGAGGGAGCAGATAAAACGCACAAGGCTCTCCCTCTGCTAACCACTTTCTTTACCTTACTGAGCCTTACCCACAGGTGCAGCCCCAGGGCCCACTCACCTGGGAGCCAGAAGAAGAAGGGAAAGAGTAGCAGCAGGTTCATCTTCTCTTCATACCAGTCCTCCTTTGTGAATCCTTGTCAGCAGGAACCAACTGTGCTCCACTCCATCTCCCAACCCTCTGCTTTCACTCACTCTCACGCTGGCACTTCCTCCTTCAGCCACTTCCCACTGATGAATAAAACTAAAAGGGGAAGGAGGTAGCATGGGTGAAATTTCAACGCAGTTAGCAATACAAGAAGTCAGAGAATAAAAAGCTTTTGAGAAATACCACTCCGTTCAGAGCCACATGCTTCCCTGAAAGGAGAACTTGGTGGCTCTTCTCTGACCTGTGGATGTCTGCAGAGGTGGTACCAGTGGGTCTGGACAGCCTTATCCCACCCTCCTTTCACCTCAGGGGCAGAGGCGCCTGGCTCCACCAGATGGGCCTGGGAGAGTCAAGGCTGATGGACAAACACCCTGAGCCTGGGATTTCAGGTGTGGTCAAATTCTCAGGAACCCAGAAGGTCACAAGTCCAACAGGGGTGAGGGGGGTTGGATCAAATTCAGAAGCCAAAGGAGAGAGGTTGGAATGAGGGAATGAGGAGGCTGAGTTGGTATCCAAACCCAGACTACACCCTGGTATGGTAGGGCTTGTCTGAAATCCCAGCATTGGGAGGCAGAGGCAGGGCTACATGGAGAGTCCAAGGCCATCCTGAGATACATAGTGAAACCCTGTCTCAAAAGAAATGGGGCGGGGGGGGGGGGGCGTTGCCCAAGAGTCAGGAAATGAGAGCAGGGATCTACCATCTCAGGTCTCAGGTCTCAGCGGCAAAGGGATTTTGTCCCAAGAAAACCCTGGAAGCGCTTCCAAAAATTTTTAAAATGTAAGCCAGGCACTGATGTCTCACACCTGTAATCCTAGCTACTCAGGAGGCAGAGATCAGAAGGCTCATGGTTCGAAACCAGCTCAGGCCAATAGTTCGAGAGACCTATCTCAAGAAAAAAAAAAAAAAAGTAAAGCTGGAGAGTTTATTGAGATAGAAAAGTGTAAAGTGGGAGAGTAGAGCCCGCAGAGAGGGTGCCCCTGGAAGCTCTTCTTGCTAGATGAGACCCTGTGGATGTCTGCTCAGCCTGAATCCTCCAGAAACTTACCAATTAGACCGGGGCTCCTCCCTGAAGAAACCAGCTCATTTTTCCTCGCTTCCATTCCCACCTCACAGAAACTATTTGTCCACCTAAGGAAGAAAGAAAGTTCCAGCTTTGTCCATCTTGCTTCCGTCATTCTGACATGGTGTCCAGGCCCCATCTCCCCACCCCCATCAGGATCCCAGCAAGCCCCCAGGATGGAGCACAGAGCTCATGAAAAGGTCAGGCTCTTCTCATATTTTGCACACTGGTATGTGTTACACACATCCTGTGATGTCTTGAAGAGTGAGCTCCAAGGAGGGACCTGACACCCTCAAACCTCAATCAGAAGTAAGGAGATGTGTAAGAGGATTATTTGCACTGAAAAACTCAGAAGCTGATAAGCCATAACTTTTCCAGGATGTGGCCAGACATGGTCTCTCATTTTATATGTCTCCAGACCATAAAGTATGGGCAACGAGCTGTGGGCAGGACATTGCCCACAAAGAAGGTCTCTTTTCTGGCAAGAGGGGAACACTGCCTTGCAAGGGAGTGACCAAGAATTGAGCAGGTTAGGGAGGCCCTGAGAAACAAGAGATAGCAGCCTTAAGGGTGCATCTTAAGGGAAAGACATCCCTGCCTTTCCTTTCTTGAGCCTGGCAGTAAGAAGTGAACAGAACTGTCAGTCAAGAGCCCTGCCTGTAGGCAGACTCTGATCCTGGCTTTCAAAGACTGGCCCACTCAAGGAAAATTCTCTCTTGGAATCAGAACACAGACTTATCCAAATGGCTGAGTGGTGACAAGACTCTTAAACAAGGGTGTATGGGGAATATGGGAGAGTCAGACTATTTGAGGAGCCTTGTATCCTCAAAGATCCATTGGAGGCCCCAAGCCTCCCTGTGTCAGCCACTAAATTCTGCATGACTCAGTCACCTTCCCAGCTTCCATTTCCCCACTGGTGAAAGAAGGGGTTGAAAAGATTGTGCGAGATTCCCCCTGCCCTAAAGTACCTGTGTTTGTAGGTACATGTGTGTGTGTGCAGGCAGGTGTGTATACACATGTTGTATGTGCCTGTGTTTATGGAAGCTGTGTGTACAGTGTACATTGCATGAGTGTGTACTGGTAAATGTGTGTTGTGTGAGCATGTGTATGTTTGAGTGCTGTCGTGCCTGTGCATGTGTGCATGCATGCATGTGTGTGTGTGTGTGTGTGTGTATGCATACCTGTGTTGATGTAGCCATTGTGTTCTTCTGGTTATCATGACAGACACTTGCTCAAGACACTTCTCTTGGTCCCTTTGGACTTGCAAACAGCAGACCATCATTTTAGAACCCAACAATTCTGAATGGTCATGGGCAGAGGAGCCCCTGATGGAAAAGCCAGTGTTCTTGGGTCTTTCCCACTCTGCAATAGAAGTCCCCCTAGAAGTGTGTTGCAAGACCCTCATAAGAAGTACAAAACCCACAGTGTAAGCCTGGTAGAAGTGAAGAAAGGCACAGAACCAAGCCTCTCAGTAGAGCCACAACAGGAAGCAGCATTGGGCCACACTTCCCTGAGCAGTGCGGCTGGGGCTCCTGTGCTTTGCCCCCCCCTGCCCCCCACACCGCCAGCTCCATTCAGAGGAACTTTAAGGGCTTCACCACCAAATTGATAGTGCTAAAATGTTAACACCCTCACTTGATAGGACTCCTTTCAAAGCCCTATACCAAATTTTGTAATTTCTATTTTGAGGCCTTTTTCCTTAAAAGGAATTGCATAAACTCCAGGCCCAAGTAAATTGATAGGTGTTCCCTCCCCTTAGATGCACACCAGAGTTCTTCACTTCAAAGTTCTTCTCCCTAAAGAATCTGGGCCTGACTTTGCCCACTAGGAGCAGCAGAAGTGAAGTGTGCCAGTCTCCAACCCTAGCCTGGGACTCCCACATTTGCTCCTGCTCTCCTGTATCTCTACACCTGCCAGGAGTTCAGCTTGGCAACCTGCTGGGTGGATGTCAGAGACACACAGAGCAGAGCCAAGCTGCCTCAGCTACCAGCCAGTGGACCTCAGACATGTGAGGGAGACCAACTGAGAGCAGAACAGATACCCAGACACCCAAGGGATGGACTCCCACTCTGCCACTGAATTTTAGACAGTTCACTGCAGCATTACTGTGGTGACAGAAAACTAAGACCCTGGAGCTAGGCGTGGTGGCTCACACCTATAAACCCAACTACTTGAGAAAACTGGAGATCCTATCTGAAAAACAAACTAAGAGCAAAAGGACTGGGGGGGCCTGGCTCAAGTTGTAGATGAAGTCCTGAGTTCAACCCCCAGTACTGCAACAAAAAAAAAAAAAAAAAAAGGAAAAACTATGGAAACTAGATTTGCTCCCCTCCCCCAGCCCCTATCTGTTTTCCTCTCAGCTCTTCCCCTGGCCTGTTCCGCCTTCCTCTCCAGACCCCAGTCCTCACCACTACCCTATACCATTCAGATAACAGCCAACCATGAGCTGGTGGAGTCTTCTGAAGCTTATGATTCAAAATTAGCACATTTGTTTAACTTTAAAAACTAGGCACATTCTTTTAAGAAAAAAATAGATTATGGAATACAAGAAGAGACAGAAGGAAGAGAGGGAGGGAGGGAGGGAGGAAGGAAGGAAGGAAGGAAGGATGGAAAAGAGGAAGGGAGGGAGGGAGGAATGAATTTAATTGCCCCTATTTCACCACCCTGAGGAAATTGCTTTTAATATTAATGTTTACATTTCACTCATCTTTTCTCTGTGCAGAAACATATGACTTGTTGCAGAAATCAGAAAGGGGCACTGGGGCTGGGGCTGGGGCTCAAGTGTTAGAGTGCCTGCCTAACAAGTGCAAATCCCTGAGTTCAAACCTCAGTATCACCAGAAAGGGGCACTGATGTGTCTTATAAGCTTATATCACTCCCTGCTCAACAGATTTCTATCGTACACAACACTGTCTACTGTGGGAAAGATGTCTTACAAACAAACACCACCAAGTGTGGTTTTAGAGCATTTGCACACTCCTGTTGGGTACAAACACATGCAGGGAAGACAATTCTGAACTCCTCTGCGTCCCTTGGATTTACACAGTACAGATAATCTTTTTGGAACCCAACTTCACAGGTGTAGGAGTTCCTGTCCCATAGGACTGGTTTGGTTGGGTCTCTCCCACTCTGGAACAGAAGTCCATGAGTGCTGTGTCACCAGTGACTAGATCTGTACCTGGCATACAGTAGGCGCTGCATAAACACTGACATAATGAATGCACTACTTTCTACTGTATCAGTGTTCTGCCCCTGGCTGTATGAGCTCTACTGAGTGCTGTAAGGATCAATTGTAACTCCAACCTGTTCTCAGGAACCATTCCTGAACCTTTTGAGTTCCCCTTGGACCCAGTTGCATTTCACCTTTTCTACCCACGTGTGTTATGTTCTGTATTTGACATAATTGCCACACTAAATCCTTACTACAAATCTATGATAACATTCATGCTATTCCCACTTTTCAGGTAAAGAAACTATGGCTCAAAGAGAAAGTAACTTGTCTAAAGTTGCATAGCTAGGAAATGGCACAGTTAGGATTCGAACCCAGGTCTGGCCCATATAAGCATGTTGTCTGCCTCCTGTTGGGTATAGGAGGGAGGGAAGGATGAAGGAGAAGAGGGAGAGGAGAGAGAATGAGAGAGAGAGAGAGAGAGAGAGAGATCCTATTTGATGCTGACCATGAAGGAACCAGAAAGAATGATTGTCGTCAGTTGTCCACACCAAAGTTGTTTTTTCCCAAAATGAAAGAGTGTTTTATCAGGAACTGGAAATAAATTTAACAAGGTCAGTAACTAACACCTTGAACCTTGAACCTTTTCCAAATGTTCTGCAGTCTACGGAATGGAAAACTGGGTCTGAGCCAAGTTCTGGTCCAGGAAATCAGGCAGAGGCAAAGCTTATGTTTTAGAAAAATGTGGGTCTCCTAGAGCATGCACTATGGTCTAAATGTCTGTGTGTCCCCAAAGTTCATATGTT